GGGCTTGAAAATCTACATTTATACAGAATGAAGGGACACATTACAGGAGTAAATGACGATTTTAATTGTATTTGAGAGTTTTGGTTTCTACGGAGTAAAGTCTGTCGACGACCAACATTTCAGAAAATATCCAACTATTGTTGAATAGCCAACTATTTTAATTAATCACTTTTATCCAGTAAACAAAGTGCATTGGTTATCGTTTCTCAAATATATATATTTTGAATTAGTGTTTTGCTCATATGACAAATGCGTCATAATAGGGACCAACATTTTATTTTAGATTTTGACATTATTTATTAATTTAATCTATTTATTTAATTATTTATTAAAACATTTTATTTATTTATTTATTTGTAGTATTTGTCAAAGGGTTTTATTAATTACATTTTTAACCTGTTTACCGTGATCTGTGATGATTTCCAACCACAAAGTTATTGGTCACAAAAACATTAAAAAAAAATAAAATAAAATAAATTTGATTAAAAAGTCATTTTTTTTGTGGATATTAAAACAACAAAAGTACATGCCACTTTTGTTGGTATTACATGCAAATTTGTGCAGATTTAATTATACAGTTATTTTTAAATGTAATAAGAAACTGGAATAAAGCCAATAAAGTATTTATATACACATAAGAAATATACACACACATATTATGTAAACAAAAACTTTTATTTTGGATGCGGTTAATCGCGATTAATCGTTTGAAAACCACTAATTGTTACAAATATTACTGTTGCAATTTAAAGAAACTGTTTTGTAGTGTAATATATTTTAAAATTTACTTATTTCTAATTTAGTGGTTTCTTGTTATTATGGAATTTGAAAACATTTGAAACCGTGATACATTTTTTTTCCAGGTTTATTTGATAGAAGGACTTGATAGAAAATCCAAAAGAACAGCATTTATTAGAATTTTTTTTTTTTATATATATTATAAATGTCTTTACTTTCACCTTTGATCAATATGATGTGTCATTGCTGAAAAGTATTAATTTCTTTCCAAAAATAAAATCTGGCCCCAAATATTTGAAAAGTAATGTACATTTTAATAAAGTGAAAATTGAGTATTTTCACATGTCAGAGTTTCATCTTGATACAAGTAAAGGTGGTGATGTGTGTATGAAAATGCTATTTGTGAAATATGCTCAACCTCAGCGCAGCAGCTAAATCATTGTTTACTTGTGTAAACGCCTTTATAACCTCCTGAATCCCGTAATGATGAATAAATCCCAAACATAATCCCAGTAGTCTGTCTTCTCGCCAGTGACATATGCACTCATCGCCGCTTCATTCTAATCAGCTTTCCTCCTCAAGTCTTTATATATTGTAGCTTTACATATTGGAAGCTTTTCTCGTGTCTTGATGACAAACTCCGGTTGGCTGTAATTTTTGGGTCCTCTCAAGGATTTTGGCTGGCAGCACGGTGGCTCGCAATTAAGTGTGTCTGGCCCAAACTGGAGGCACTAAACAGCTGGCATGAGCTCAAATCTGACATCATGCAGTTCTTCTCTCTTCTCTCTCTTTTGTTTAACATCTCTATCTGTTGCCTCAATAATTCGCGTCCAATTTGGCCCGTGTCATTGTCTTTCCTTTGCTCACTGTTTAAATGGCAGCTGATGCAATCAGTTAACCAATCTCTTTTTTTAGGACTGAATTACCTCAGAGATGGCGTTTAATGTGAGTGAATTGACCAAGAGCTTCAGAGGTTTTAAAGCACCTGGATTGTGGGTACAATGGGCTCATAATCAATTATTGAACACTTTGCTTCTCTGTGTCTGCAGAAAAGTTTGATTGATAAAGTGAGGTGGAAGTCCGTGTCAGAGTTTGCAGTTCAGAAGACCTGCTTCTTAATGAACTGAACTGTAGAAAATTATATGAATGCACACAAGTTATTAGAAGGTAGGCTACTGCTCTAAAATATCAATGCAATATTGTAAGAATTATAATTTTGATAATATTATATTATAGCGTTATAAACAAACTTTTTAGTGACACAGACTTTTGTTTTTATAAAATAAAAATTAATTAAAAATATTTAATTCAATAAATTTAAAAAACAATAAAAAATACAATTTAAGCGAACCTAAAATTGAGCCTTGGTGCCTGTTGGGACATTTGCCATACAGGAAACAAATCAATTAAGAAAAAATGCTAAATGAAACACTGCCCTACTATATTTTCACTTTGCTTTTAATGTTTTATATCCTATTTATATTTTTGCATCCATATATATGTGGTTTGTCACTTTGCATATTTTAAGACAGCACTTTGGTGCTTATTATGACATCACATTATCGCAAAGGCTTAGATCATGCATATTAATTAGATCCCTTTAAAATAATTTTACATGATCTTTTCCTGTTTTGATAAATAGGTAGTTTATGAGATGTATGCAGCCCTGCAAACATGTATTTGCTCATTTCCAAGGTAAAGCTGAATGCAGTTTCAATAGCATGGTGTATTTTGTTTATTTTGACATGATCAATAAACTTACGATTAACTTGATTGGCCAAGTGATGATGTAAATTAGAGCCCGACCGATATATCGTTTAGCCGATATTATCGGCCGGTATGAGCCTGTCGCCGATATATCGGTATTGGCGAATATGCCGCCGATATGAACTTTTTTTTTTTACAGAACATATAACGCAGATTAAATGCTTCTGAATGGTGTAATTACTTAGCTTGTCCAGCAGAGCGCGCTCCATTGTTTGCTCCCGCACCTATATTTGATTGTCACATTACAATGATTCTAATTCTTTGTTTTGCATGATGATATGATGAATGGATGGTTCATTTTAACAGCAGATTCAGTGACGTTAGAGACTAGAGTTGATCTGCACTTCACGGCACGTGTCTGCGGTGCATTAACTTCACGGCCACCGGAGCTGATCACGGCCACTCAATGCTGGTGTTTACATCACATCGCCCGGCGCGACAAAATACAATATAATTCTATTGTATTTTGTCGCGCCGCTCGCGTCCGGTGTAGAATAGAACCCATTATGCTGTCTATTCAGTAGATTCAGTAAACTGATGCCTCGTTCTATTTATGACGTGCGGACAGAAGTTCAAATGATTTTCAAATGTCGCTTTTACGCATTCTGTTGCAGCGCATACACGGTGTCAGCATAGTTTGTCAGTACAGTTAGTAATGTAGCAGATTGAAAAGTTAGTATCTTTCTGCAGTCCAATAGACGCCAGTGCGATGGTGGCTTGAGGCTGTTGAATGGTGATTTAACGCTACCTTGTCACCTACTTGGAGAGACCCAATGCTAAGTAAATAAACATCAATGCCCTCGTCTTTTACTTTCACAATGAGCTTATCATATTCGTTTGCTACATTAGTAGGGCCCTATGATTTCCGCAATGCAGAAAACATGGACGGAATCGCGTAATCCAGTCATAAAAACGGAATTTACTGTATAACGCGGAATTTCATGAAATTTGTCTTATTTTTGATGTATAAATAAAAAACAGGTCAGTACATATATATATATGTAGACTCTGTCTGTGAATATTAAACTGCAAAAAGACGATTTAAATACAAATGTCCTGCATGTTCATTGGATTACCAGAAAATACATAACAGAGTTTGTGAAAAAAATATTATTCATTATTATTATTTATTCATTTTAGATGTTTAAAAAGGCTGTGCTTCCTGCATAAACCTGCCCCTGTTGGTTTGGCAGTAGCTTGCTTGTCCTACAGTAATCTTGTTTAATTTCTTAATTCAAGTTATAAATATTTTGTTCTATTTGTGTTATTCAAGTTATTTATAATAAGTGAAGTGAAGTTTACTGTTAAGTGCACTGATGTTGGACTCACTTTGAATAATAAAGTTTATTGTTAAATTGTTAAATACCCTGCCTCCATTACATAGGCCTATGTTTGTCACATCATTATAAGTGTTTGATCACCACATTTGAGTTATCATTGCAAAAAATGTTTATGTATATATATATTCTGTTTATGTAGGCTATATATTGTATTCTATATACAGTACCAGACAAAGGTTTGGACACATGAATGGGAAGTGTGTCCAAACTTTTGACTATACTGTACTATAATATAGTCTACACATAAAGAATATCAGCCGATATATCGGTATCAGTCTTTTTTTTACTCCCTAATATCGGTATCGGCATCGGCCCCCAAAAAACCCATATCGGTCGGGCTCTAGTGTAAATGACAGCTTTAGCTAAAATAGAAGTACACTACTGTTCAAACGTTTTTAATATTTTCAAACAAAGTCTTTTATGCTCACCAAGGCAATTATTTGATTAAAAATACAGTAAAAACAGTAATATTTTGAAATATTATTACAATTTAAAAGAGCTGTTTTCTATTGTAATATATTTTAAAATGCAATTTATTCCTGTGATGCAAAGCTGAATTTTCAGCATAATTACTCCAGTTTTCAGTGTCACATGATCCTCCGGAAATCATTTTAATATGCTGATTTGCTGCTCAAGAAACATTTCTTCTTATTATTACCCATTACAGCTGTGGAAACCATAATAAAAAAATGTTCAGGGTCCTTTGATCAGTAAAAGTCTAAAAAGAATAGCATTTATTTGAAATAGAAATGTAAAAGTACTTACTGTCACTTTTAATTAGTTTAATACATCTTTGTTGAATAAAAGTATTATTATTATTTTTTTAATCTTACTGATCCCAAACTTATCAATTATCTGTGCACTTATCAATTCAGAGGTCCCTTTAACTGAGAACTTCAAATCCCTTTAGATAAAAGCATCTGCATATTGAGCAGCATTTACATGCTAAAATGCCAGTTAAATTGGTTGCTTCTGATGTTTTGAACTGACTGTGTACCTGAAATGTTTAAAGTGTGTTAGAAGTTCATAAGAAGGCGTGCGACTTGTGAAATGTGTTATCTGGTATCTGTGTATGCAAGCAGGTGTTACGGCACAATCCTGCTAGTTTTACAATCTCTCCATCTTTCCATCTCACCAGGAGCAATCGTCCTCTCTCCTCAGATTCAGGTGTACAGCCTGGAGACCAGCCAGTGCGAGCTGACCGTGGGGGACTCGGCGGGAGACTTCACCTGCGTCAACCTGAGAGACAGCCACCCTCACCTGCTGGTGTGTGGGAACAAAGACAGGTGGTACAACACACCCGCAAACATGTGTACCTCATCTATCACTGTTACACACACACACACACACACACACACACACACACACACACACACACACACAC